TTTCAACACGCGAGCACAATTTTAATTAGAGTTTTATGTGTTTTGCATTCGCTTCGTAAGCGATATTTACATGTCCGTCCGTCTGTCCGTCCGTCCGTCTGTCCGTCTGTCTGTCTGTCTGTTGAAAACACGATAGAGTCCAAACGGAAGTAGCTAGAGAGCTGAAATTTTGCATAAATACTTTTAGTTAATGCAGTTCGTTTGGTATTGAAAATGGGCAATATCGGTCCACGATTTCGCCTAGCCCCCATATAAGGTCTCCTTCAGAAAATGACTTTAACGCTCATAACTGACTAAAAGAAGCTCCTATAGCGATGAAATTCGACATAAACATATTTTATAGGAACCTTAAAATCTTTGTAGAATTTTATAAGGATCGGTCCATAATTGACCCTATCCCCCATATAAGGTCCCCTTCAGAAAATGGCTTTAACGCTCATAACTGTCTAAAAGAAGCATCTATAGCGATGAAATTCGACATGAACATATTCTATAGAAACCTAAATCGCTTCGTAAAATTTTATAAGGATCGGTTCATAATTGACCCTAGCCGCCCTATAAGGTCCCCTTCAGAAAATGACTTTAAAGCTCATAACTGTCCAAAAGAAGCATCTATAGCGATGAAATTAGACATGAACATATTTCATAGGAACCTTAATATCATTGTAAAATTTAATAAGGATCGGTCCATAATTGACCCTATCCCCCATATAAGCTCCCATTCAGAAAATGACTTTAACGCTTATAACTGACCAAAAGAAGCATCTATAGCGATGAAATTAGACATGAACCTATTTTATAGAAACGTTAGTCGCTTTGTAAAATTTTATAAGGTTCGGGCCATAATTGACCCTACCCCCCATATAAGATCCCCTTCAGAAAATGACTTTAACGCTCATAACTGTCCAAAAAAAGCATCAATAGCGATGAAATTTGGCATGAACATATTTTATAGGAACCTTCATATCATTGTAAAATTTTATAAGGATCGGTCCATAATTGACCCTATCCCCCATATAAGTTCCCCTTCAGAAAATGACTTTAACGCTCATAACTCTCTAAAAGAAGCATCTATAGCAATGAAATTCGACATGAACCTATTTTATAGAAACCTAAATCGCTTTGTAAATTTTTATAAGGATCGGTTCATAATTGACCCTATCCCCCATATAAGGTCCCCTTCGGAAAATTACTTTAAAGCTCATAACAGCCTTAAAGAAACATCCATACCGATGAAATTTGACATGAACATATTTTATAGGAACCTTAATATCATAGCAAAATTTTATAAGGATCGATCCATAATTCACCCTATCCCCCATATAAGGTCCCCTTCAGTCCATAATTGATCCTATCGATATACATAATATGTATGATGGTAAAATTATACATATACATATGTAATGAATGAGAAAATTGTTTTGATAATAACAAAAGCATCGATTCCTAAATATCAAAGTTTATTTATAAGCAAGCACTCCTTTTCGGCTTGCTTATAATGGTGGGTATACAAGATTCGGCACAGCCGAATATAACACTCTTACTTGTTGTTTTTTCAACTCGCTTACGAGCGAGTGGAAAACGAGTTGAATTCGAGTTAAATTCGAGCCGAAAATCAGCAAAATGTGTGTGCAAGAAACAGGTTCTGTTGTGGTAGTAAAAAAGAACCAATAATATGGGAAATAATTATGTATGTGTGATTGTGTAGCCGTAGGTTTTATGACGGTCTGACAAAGCAAAAGTGGGAAAGTATAAGAAATATATTGTCTACCTTTTTATACCCACCATCAAAAAAGATGGGGGGTATATTGATTTTGTCATTCCGTTTGTAACACATCGAAATATTGGTCATAGACCCATAAAAGTATATATATTCCGGGTCCTTATTAAATTCTAAGACGATCTAGCCATGTCCGTCCGTCTGTCCGTCTGTCTGTTGAAATCACGATAGGGACCACACGAGAGGAGCTAGACAGTTGAAATTTTGCATAAATATTTTCTATTGTTAAGGTTTGTTTGGTATTGAAAATGGGCAATATCGGTCCACTTTTTCGGATAGCCCCCATACAAGTGGACCTCCAAAAAACAGCTTTAACGGGCATAACTGCTTTAGAAGTACAAGTATAGCGATAAAATTCGACATAAATAAGTTTCATATGAGCCAAAATCTTTATACCAAATTTTTTGAGGATCGGCCCATAAATGACCCTACCCCCCATATAAGGTCCCCTTCTGAAAATTACTTTAACACTCATTACTGGTCCCAAAATGCAAGTATAGCGATGAAATTCGGTATAAGTATGTTTCTTACGAACCAAAATCTCTCTACCAATTTTTTTTAGGATCGGCCCATAAATGACCCTACCCCCCATATAAGGTTCTCTTTAGAAAATGACTTTAACACTCATTACTAGCCTAAAAATTCGAGTATAGCGATGAAATTCAGTATAAGTAAGTTTCTTACGAACCAAAACCTTTTAACCAATTTTTTTTAGGATCGGCCCATAAATAACCCTACCCCCCATATAAGGTCCCCTCCTGAAAATGACTTTAACACTCATTACTAGCCCCAAAATGCAAGTATAGCGATGAAATTCGACATAAATAAGTTTCATGTGAGCCAAAAGCTTTCTACCAAATTTTTTGAGGATCGGTCCATAATTGACCCTACCCCCATATAAGGTTTCCTTTAGAAAATTACTTTAACGCTCATTACTGGTCCAAAAATGCGAGTATAGCGATGAAATGCTACATACGTAAGTTTCTTACGAACCATAATCGCTCTACGAATTTTTTTTAAGATCGGCCCATAAATGGCCCTGTCCCCCATATAAGGTCCCCTTCTGGAAATGACTTTAACGCTCATTAATGGCTAAAAAATACGAATATAGCAATAAAATTTTACACAATAAAGTTCCTCGCGAGCCAAAATCTTTTTAATAACTTTTATGTTAATAGGTCCATAATTAGCCCTACTCCCCCTATTGGGTCCACTTCAGGAAATAGCTTTGGATCGGCTCAAAACTGACCCTTCCCCCATATAAGGTCCCCCTCTACAAATAACTACAATGCTCATTACTGGCTTAAAAATATGAATGTGACGAAAATTGACGCACATAAGTTTAATCTCTCCACCAAATTTAGGGAGGAACGGTATATAATTTACCCTACCGCCCATATAAGGTCCCCTTTAAAAAATTACTTAAACGATCATTACTGGCTTAAAAATATGAGTTATGAAATACGGTTATGAAATTCGCTCCGAATTTCATGCGGAATGTGTCGGTAATACACAAAAGGTTCCCTTCAGGAAAGAGTTTAGGCTAATAAACTACGAGTGTTCCTTATTTAAAATACGAGTATAGCCCTGAATGTACAAAATTTTATGAGTATCGGTTCATAATTGACGCTCACGGTTTAAGAATTAAAATAAAATATATATTTTTTTTAAATTAATATTTTGTTAGTTCAAAAGAGCTCGGACCATAATTGACTTAAGCCATATTCCAAATATAACGCTGATGTTTATAGGGGAGCATTCCTTTTACGGCATACGGTTTGATGGTGGGTATATGAGATTCGGCACAGCCGAATATAACACTCTTACTTGTTTTTATAATAAAGCATTTCAGTTGAAATGTACCTTGCTTTAGATATACTTAAGCCATTTATTGTTGAATAAAGTTGTGGACATTTAAGTCAAATTTTGAAGGGGGTCAAATGAGACCCTATAGTTATAAAATGCATGAGAGTCATCAAGGCTAGTAGATCACTTGGTTTTGCAGCATTTTGTTGAGATACGAGTATATTAAACATAATTATGAATTTAAAGGCCCTATTCGTCGGGTTGGGGGCTAGGTGTAATAATGGACCGATGTTAACCATTTTCAATAGGCTTTGTCTCCCTACCATAGAAGATCATGTGCCGAATTTCATTGAATTATCTTCAAAATTGCTACCTGTAGTTTGATTACAAGGTTTACAAGCCCTATTCAGTGGTTCAGTTGTATGGGGGCTAGGTAAAATAATGGACCGATGTTAACCATTTTCAATAAGCTTTGTCTCCGGTGCCATAGAATATCATGTGACAAATTTTATTGAATTATCATCAAAATTGCGACCTATAGTTTGATTACAACGTTTACAAGCCCTATTCAGGGGTTCAGTTGTATGGGGGCTAGGTGAAATAATGGACCGATCTTAACCATTTTCGTCCCTGGGACAATAGAAGATCATGTACCAAATTTCATTGAATTATCTTCAAAATTGCGACCTGTAGTTTGATTACAAGGTTTACATGGACGGACAGACGGACGGAAATAGCTAAATCGACTCGGAAAATGATTCTGAGCCGATTGGTGGGTATAGGACCAATATTATTGTGCGTTACAAACATCAGCACAAACCCAATATACCCTCCCCACTAAAGTGGTGTAGGGTATAAATACATATCGCACCCCCAAGTTTTTACAACTTCTGAAACATAAAGAAAGACGACGTTTTTTTGCCACAACAAAATACACTGACAATTTTATAGAGACAAGCAAGTATCTTGTGCATAGTTTAAGGCTTAGACTTAGGGCTTTAAGCATATGTATAACCGAAAATTTTAACAACTGCGAATTTTAACAAAATTATATACATATACATACTTAAATGTATATTTTTTTGATAACACATCGAACTTAAAAAAAAAAACATCATCAACACAAACACAAAACAATTTACTTTGAAATAATTTATTATTATTTATTAATTATTAATTTATTTATTATTAATTTATTTATTATTACTTTATTTATTATAATTAAATAATAAAAAAAGCAATCTAAAATAATTACGTTGCAATGTTGAAAATTTTGAACTTCAAACCTGCTAAAATTGAAAATGTATAAAAAGGAATGAAACCTTACTGCAGTATACAGTACAATTGTGTTATTCAACATAAGGACATATCACAAGCTGATAGATATACAGGAAAAACATTTATATTTTCGATAATGCGTCTTTTGTTGCTTCTGGCCCTGTTGGGCTTCGTCGTGGTGATAACGGCCATACCGGCTTCTTTGGAGTATTTGGAACGACCAACCACTTTATTAGACGTCGCCGATGCTGGAGACTTGCATTCAAATAATGATGATCGTGTTGCTCGTCATTATGGTGACGGCGGATGGGGAGTTCGCGGAGGTGGTGGATGGGGTGGTCGTGTTGGTGGTAGCTGGGGAGATCGTGTAGTTGGTGGTTGGGGAGGTCGTGGAGTTGGTAGTTGGGGTGGTCGTGGAGTTGGAGGTTGGGGTGGTCGCAGAGTTGTGGGTTGGGGAGGTCGCGGAGTTGGTGGCTGGGGAGGTCGCGGAGTTGGTGGTTGGGCAGGTCGTGGAGCTGGAGTTTGGGGAGGCGGTGTATGGGGCTAAACTTTATTCATTTTTATTATAGCCTCTTGTAATATACATAAATATTTTACATTTACCAATAATTTATTATTAGATTTGAATGTGTTAGATTTATATTAGTTTACTATTAATTCTAATATCGTAATTATCATCAATATATGTATGTATATAAAAATTAATTTGTGTTTGTATGTTTATTTGTGTGTTTGAAGTATATATAAGTCTACAGCTAGAGTCTTCAAATTCAGGCTAGGCGGGTAATGATTAATATAAGTAATTTATTGCATGGTCAATTACAATTACTTATAATGTCAATTGGTGTTTACCAATTACAATTACTTGTTATTGTAATTTAGGTATTACTAATTACAAATTACATGTAATTAAATGAAGAATAATTCGCAATTACGAGTAATTGGAAATTCTTCAATTACAATTAATTGTAACTTTCAAAACTTTAATTACAAGTCATTGTAATTGACAAAACTTCAATTACAATTACAAATTATTGTAATTGGTAAAACATCAATTACAAGTAATTGGTAAAGCTTCAAATTCAATTACTTCAAATGTTATTGTAATTGAAAATGTAGTCATTGCCACCAATTGTGGCATCCATATGAACATTTGGGAACAGAATGGGCGGACTGGACATAGTGGGCGTGGCACCTCCTATATAAAGAAAATATCAAATCAGTATATCTGATAAAATTTTCTCAGAGCCATTTAAGTAGTATTATGAATACACTGTCCGACAAAAAGAGAAAAAAATTCGTTAGACATGAACCGGATTATACGACTGAAACTATAAATTTAATGGAGAAAAAGTGCGTTTTTTTGTTTTTCATTTCGTGATCCTGTGTTCTTTTTAAAGGACTTCAAAGTTTTAAAGAAGTATTCAAATACTTCCACCGATCAAACAATGACAAATTTGATGTCGAAAGGACGAGAAGTGTTGGGAAATATTTTGTATTATTTTCATTTTATACTGTCAGAATAAAAAGATGTTAAAAATATATTTTAAAATTGTTATCCTTTAATATCTATTTAGATTTTCAATATTATTTTTTCAGAGAAATTTTTGAAGAGAATTTTTAAGATCTTTTGATTCTGACAGAATAAAATAAAAACAAGTTAGAGTGCTATATTCGGCTGAGCCGAATCTTAAATACCCTCCACCAGCTACTTTTATATAAATACTTTTTTTAATTGATCAAATATTTGTAGAAAAAAGTTTTCTCATGTCTTAAATAGAAAAACCCCAAGATTTAAACAGCTTAAATCTGTTACAATTCCAAGATTTGTTGAACATTACAAACCCCATTTTCTTTTATATTTTTATAGCGCCCTTAGATATGCTTTAACGATATTTAATAATATGCATGTATGCATGTGTGTGAAAGATTGTATCTATATCGTAATTTAGTAATAAGTAATCGTGACAAAATCTTGAAATAGAATTTTTGTATACCAAACTAATATTTGTGCCAAATTTTGTATCAATAGCTTTATTTGGTAATGAGTAAAGTGCGTTTAAGAGATTTTCGTAAAAGGACCTTGTATGGGAGCTATGACCAATTATGAATATAAAGACAAAATTTCAATATTCTTTATCTATATTATTATTTGGCAATGAATATTGTGCATTTAAGTGATTTTCTGGAGGGGACGTAGTATGAGAGCTATGACCAAATATGGACCGATTGCAAAACAATTTTATAGTGTAATTTATGTATATAAGAGCAATATTTGTGCTAAATGCAGGGATATCAACATTTTGTAATGACTTATGTGCGTTTAAGTGATTTTCGGGAGGGGACCTTGTATGGGAGTTATGACCAAATATGTACCGATCGGAAAAAAAAATTCATAGTAATATTTCTGTATATGAGAGAAATAATTATACCAACTAGAGTTCGCCAAGCGGTCGAAATTCGACCAGAACCAATGCTGGAAAAATTGCATAAATAAGCTAAAATAAAACCCTATTTTTGTAGTTCAAATCTGTGGTAAAAAATTAACTTTATTGATATTATCAAAGTGTATAATTTGCTTTGAATAATGTTTTCTTTTAGAAAATGTGATGGGTTTTAGTAAAACTTCCATCAGAAGTTTAAAGCCTCAATTGTCAAAATTAGTTATACAACTTGTTTTACAAAAGTATTTCAACTATTTTAAAAATAATAAAAAATAACGAACATTTCTTCTATCGACTTATTATCCCCTACATATTTACGCATCGCTCACAATGCTGGAGTACTCTACTGTACAGTGTACACACCAGTAAAGAAATGTTAGCTGTTCAAAATACAGAGTTGAAATGTTCTAAATAATTTGTGAAAACAGTAAAAATATTTAAAATAAATAATGTCTTATCTAATTATAAATAAATTTTATTTGGATGTCATTAGTAGTCCATCCAACAGGTATATGCTGTATAAATTTTTCCTTACAACACTCGACAAAGACTTCAGCAGACATACATTTATTCAATTTTAATGTCTTCTAATAGAATTTAATAGTAGATATTCTATGAGGCCTTCTAATGGGCCTTTTATTAGCCTTCATATAGAACCGCATAACGATATGCATTGGCTTCCAATTACACACTGATTTTGTATATGCATAATAAGGCCTTAATTTCTCAAGTACTGTTTTTAGTACTGTTTGAAAGAAATCATTAATAAACTATAAATTTCAGTCTTTTGTTAATATATGCAAGTTTAATAGCAAGTAAATGAATAATAAACGATAAATTGCTAAGTACGGTTAAACACTCTTCATCCCAAAAGACATGATTTATATTTAGCAGTTTCAACTTGTATCTATTTTTATATAACAAATAACCATCACATATTCAACTTACAGTTTTCACTTTACACTACTATTTCCTAATTGGTTAGAATAGCCCAAAAAAAGAAGAATATCATCAAGTCCTCGCTGTGCTAAACCTGCATATAAGCGATATACATATCCATTTATTGCGGTGTATCATATACCGCCATGACCAACTAAACTTTACTTATATTTTTTACAGGCTATTTTTATTTCTTACTGACACTGAATCAATTCGTTAATCCATCATTTAAATCTTCCAAATCAATCAAAACTAATAATTATGTACCGCAATTCAGTATTTTTTTTTAACTACAACATTTTGTCGTTATGTGGTATGTATTCTGAACTTCATTTCACTGATTTTTTTCGTTAAACATAATCGAAAAAGTAAAAAATAAATTAAAACTTCACGTTAATAATTTTATATTTTAAAAATATTTCAATACATAACTTTTGACATTCTAATATTTTTCCGATATTTGTCTTTAAAATATTCTACGGTTGTTAAAAAGTTAGGGAAATTCGTTAATGTAACTGATATTTGTCATTACTTTTAGATATCAATACTTAAAATTAAAAAAAAATTACTGAATTCCGGTACTGATGTCCTACCAATAATTTTCCAGTTCAAACACCAATATCAGTACATTGTATGGCATTTCTTTAGGTGTCCCCAAGCATTATTTACGCAGTTCGTTGTTTCCTCGGGAATGTCCTTCAATTTAACTATTTTGAAAAGTTTAAATAACGAAAAACTTCCAATCGAAAACTCTGAATATAAAACTGAAGTCCTACTACTTATAAAAATATTCCTTTCGATTTGGTAACAATCGTAACGATATTATAACAAAAATACAAAAATCAAACAGCAACAGAGAAGTTAAACGTTTCTGCACTCTCCTCTCTTTTTTCAAAAAGCCGTGTTGTTTACTTTTTTTGTTTTGTTTCTTGCTTTGTTTGTTTTTAATTTCAAGAATACGTACGTGTGACTATTGTTTCTATGTATTAGTAACAACTTTAAACTCTTATATCTCTTAAATTTCTGAACCGATCTCATTAATATATATATTGTGCACATCTGCGAACAAATACCTTTAAAATGATATAATTTTTGCCAAGATCTGATGTATACTGTAAGAGTAAAAGGGGTCACAAAAAATCGTCTTGCCTATTAATTATATAGATATGGATATCTTCATTTATTAATGAGTTATGTGCGTTTAAGTGATTTTCGGGAAGGATCCTTGTATGGGAGCTATGACCAATTATGGACCGATCGGAAAAACTTTCACAGTAATATTTCTATGCATATGAGCAATACATATTCAAAATTTTATATGGATATCTTAATTTAGTAATGAGTTATGCGCGTTTAAGTGATTTTCGGGAGGGGACCTTGTATGGAAGCTATGTCCAATTATGGACCGATCCAGAAAATTTTTTCTCTCAAAGAATTAAATTTTTTCTCTCAAAGAATTCAATTGACATAAGATTTTAATTTGTAAAATTTTGTGAAGATATCAACATTCTGACGGAAGTTATTAACAAAAAACTCATTTTCCGGGAATATGTACTTTTGTATGGGAGGTATATGAAATTATTCTGGCTTACGTTAAAACGAAGCAATATAATTTAACCAAATTCACCCAAAATATTCATTATTATCCGGTACAGTTTGGTATTGAAAATAAGCAAAATCGGTTCACACCGGGAAAAAGTAATGAATCAAAATTTGAAACAACCTCGAAAAAATAAGCATTTTTTACACATTCTGATGTAATTGTCTCGAAAACTATGCAAGATAATTCCATGAAAATCACCATACATTCGTTTCTACACAAGAGCTTGACTCCTGCTGAAAATTGTCAGAATCGGTCAACAATTTCATATACCTCCCATACAAAAGTACATATTCCCGGAAAATGGGTTTTTTGTTAATAACTTCCGTCACAATGTCGAAATCTTTACAAAATTTTACAAATTAAAATCTTCCCTGGACGGCGCTAGGCTGGGACTGGCAAAGAAGAGCGAGCTTCCGGTGCTCCTAAAGTCCACTGTCTACATAAAAGGATGGGGCAGTAAACTGGCTAATGAACGTATACTGGAAATTCTTGGAGGTCAAAATACAGGAAAGAAGAACCTGAGGGAACTTTATTTGTAATAGGTATCGACCAGAAATCCAT